TACTATTTGTAGAAATAAATGAAAAATCTTGATGAAATTTTTTTTAAATGTAAAAATTTATTTATTACATAAAAATAAGGAAAAAGGTTAATATATTAATTTTTTAATTTTCCAAGTACGGATTTTATAATTTTTAAACGAATAACAACTATTTTTTGATTATTATTGAATAAAAAAAAAAATTATGGATTCACTTCGCGGAATTTTTTTATTAATAACATAAATAAAATCTTTCTTGGAGATAATTGCACTCTAGAGGAGTTTAATCAGTCAAAAAACATCCACTCTGCAAATTTTGTACAGTGCAAAAGTGTGCTAACCATTTTGAAACATAAACTGATAGAAATTCAACAATAAAAATAGATGCGAAGCAGAAAAAACATTTTATAGTCATAAAGCACTGTCAAGATGTGAGTTGATTTAAAAATTTAAAATAACTGAAACGAAGACTTATGCATTATATTTTATAGCTTTGTGGAAAACGTCTACAATCTATCATTTACAAAAAATTTTTTTTCTGTTCCAAATAAACTCGATTATACTTTTATAAATCGATATCCGGTGAAACTGACTGATGTTCTTAAAATTAACGTAATCGCACTTAATGAATCATACTTTTGATAGAAATGGTAAAAAAAATTTGTAATGTTTTACAATTTCTGTTTAGACAATGATTCTTAAAGATAAAATTTAAATGCAAGCTACACCCATAAATATCATGAATGACTAAATGGAATACAAAGTCTCGAATGTGAGAACAAAAAATCAAACTCCAGATCTCGTTAATAATTATTTCATAGGATTATTTAGTGTTCAAATTTTTCAAGTTATAATTACAGAAAATAATCAATGGATACAGATGGTGAATAATAAAAAAAAAAATTGTTTTGAAAATAATTTTATTTTCACGTCAATCGTTAATTGAGTAAATAAAATGACTGTATTTTGAATCAACATACGTAATAAAATTCATCAATGAAAATACCTAATATATTTAACCTACCGACTAAAAAACTGAATAACTTTTTTTTTATCCACGATTTTAATTGAATAATTTTTTCTCCTCGGTAAAAAGCTTAAATCAACGAAATGTAATTAATCAAGCTATAAATAAGCCATGACCTCGTTATTAGAATATTTTTCCGTTTTTAAACCTTTGAATTTTAAAATATTATAAAATTATTGTGCTTGATTAATTTTTCATAATTAATTAATCTACAACCGAATAAATAAAATTGAATAAAGGAATTAATTAATTACGAAATATTTAAAATAAGCATGTTAAAAAATTACCGAACAATTTTAAATATCGATTCTTTCTACGTGAAATGATGAAACTCAGTTATTATCAAGTCGACAATTTTAATTTACATATCTCTAATTTTAATCATTAAATTAAAAACTAGAACAACAAATTTGTTCCATTGTTTAACTTATATATACATAGAGTAAAACAAAATAAAATAAAAGCATTGTGTAAAAGTCAAACTTTAATAATTTATGTACATAAAAACGTCAAGCTTTCAATGTATCACATTTATTTTTTATTAAAGCTTTTAACGATGTTTTGCGAGATAAAAAAACTCAACAATTGTTCATTAATTTGTAATTGTTTTGTTGTTTTTATATTCGATTGGCGTTGATCGAAAAATAATCATTGCGTACGCGGGACATGGGCCCTTGCTTTTTTACGGCTTTAAATTAATATGCATGGGACTATTCGCAATCTACACATACGTATACTGCACAGGGTATAGAGTGTATATACCGTAGACAAACGTTTATCTTGCGCTTAATTTACTTTTTATTCACCCGACAAATCGCATCGTATTCATTGAGTTTTCTCGTCTGCATCAGATACAAACGCTCGATAAAAATATATTATATCATTATTTATGTATTCAAATTTGACGTAAAATTTTCAAATAAAAATTATTTATGGCCTATTTTTTAGCACATAATTAATGTTAGTTTGCTACAATTAGTTTGTGTTAGACAGGGAACAAATTTATGATAATAGTATATTACGACCCAAGGCCAGAAAGTTGGATTTCCTGGCGTATGTGATATGATGGCCGAGACGTAGCCGAAGCTATCATATCACATACGTCAGGGCATCCAACATTCTGGTCATGGGTTGTATACTATTTTTCTTGCTTTCCAGCCGAAAGTATGCAACCCCGGGGAAGGGGTTTTGCAAAACCGAGGCGAAGCCGAGGTTTTGCCGGGGGTGAGGGGGGCGCCGCCCGACTTTTGTAAAGCCGAGGCGAAGCCGAGGTTTTACTGGTCGGGGCGGGCATAATAAAAAAGTAAAAATTAATAAATAAAAAAAAAAATAAGTTATTTTAAAGTTTACTAACAAACGCTCTGATTAAGAGAGATAACATGCACAGAACTTGTCACAAATATTTAAACTCGATTTAATAACAGAATTAATTTTTTTAAGTTGATTAAAAATTAGTTTTTAATTAGACGGCTAAGAAAAATTGAAATTTAATTATTAGAAGCTTGTAGAGTACATGGATTGTTTTATAAACAAATCGCTTTACTAGCTGTCAAAATATAAAAGAAAGCAAATAAAATCTACAAAACTTTAACATTTTATCTTCTAAAATTTTTATATAAATTATTTGTGCAGTATTATTATTAATTAAATAGTTCATTAACAATAATCTAGTAAGAAATTATTTTTATTTATTTGACACTTTTTGGTTAGTTTATGTGTTGACATGTTACATACAGACGATGTTGTGACTGTTATATACAGTTGAAACTCGCTGTATAGGCCGGCCGCACCACGAAAGTACGAAAGAAAGCGAGGCTCTGTGCTGCTTGCCAGAAAATATGCGTAGCGCGCATGCGTAGAGAGCCGGCCAAAAAAGTTGCTCTTCCTGGAGTAAAGAGCGTCCAGGATGAGCGTACTTTCGGCTAGGAGAGCAAGAAAAATTATTTGAAGCTATGTTAAAATTTTCTGAAATAGATTCGTTAATTTTCCACATTACAATGTTATTTGTAACACATCTGAAGTGTCAAAAAATAGTGTACTTAGATATGCCAAAGTAATTATTAATTTTTGGCTATCAAGCAATTGATCTGAATAATTTAGTTAAGTGAAATAATAAATAAATAATCTGTAATAAAAAATTAGAAGTTGATGCAAACATTCCATCAGATTACTTTGCTTTAATTAAATTAATTTATTAGCTGATTAAAAAAAACTCAACAATACGAGCATCCAATCAGTTATGTGCTTAATTATCCATCATTGTTATTCGTTCATTTATGGTAAACTATGTTTTAACAAATTGTTATTTGAAATTTTGAAAATAATTTGGGATAACTCGTCACTTCTGTAAATTTATCGTATGTTTATATTGCTTTACAACGCATTGAGTCTCTTCGTTAAATTGAGAGTGTTTTTTAAGATAAAATTCGTGCTGATTTGAGAGCAACACGTATTAAGTATTACTTTTGTATCAAATAACGTTCCAGTATGTTTTAAAGATAACTGGATTGAACAGCACTTAATTATACTGTTTAATTAATATTCAAAAAAAATTTTCTACCACGCTGAAGTAAAATACTTTACGAGTATGAAGTTTGGAGACGGCAAATTCTCAAAAATTTTTCGATAAATTTCAATCTCATGATTACAGAAAAAATCTAAAAAATCTTATAGGAAAAATTAATAAAAATTTCCGAGTTCTTTATTCTATTTTTTCGTTTTGGTAATTGAATTATTTATAAGTTTTTTAAAAATTGCCAGATGCCAGCTGCAATTACACTCATAATAATTCTAATTTTATTTAAACCCATTCATTCTTGATCAACATTATTAATGGGTGTTTCTGGTTATAATTTCTGTTTTAATGAAATTCTATTAAGTCCCGTTTTTTTTCATTTTAATTAACTTTTTTATCGCAACGCACTCGATAATTTTGCAATGTAATTAAAGTGAATAAATCAGTGGATTTTTTTATTAGCACAAAATTAAAAAAAATTTATTAACCCAAGTTATGTTGACAAAGATTAAAAAGAACGCTACCATAGTGAAAATTTTAATTACGATAATAACAAATATCTACATTCATAACCACAATAATGGGGAATGACTGGAAAATATTGAAAAAATTGGTTAATGCATTTTTAGTGTGGTTTACCTCTTTTTTTGGTCATGTGAAAAATTAACAATGCAAATTCACAGGGTGGTCCTGATGAGGAAGTTAATGAAAAAATAAAATGTCAGAGCAGAGGGAAGGTTTGATTTCAGCGGGATAAAAAAATAAATAATGTATGTGCATTAAACGAATGATTTTTTACTCGGCAACAATTTTTATTGTCAACACACAGCTTAACATCCACCGTATGCGGTGGTACGATCGAGCACAGTGCTTAAAAAAAAGTAGTACAGAGCGAATCCTCCGCCACAAAAGTGGCTTGGGTCTTGTTTAGCCTCAGGAACTCCCAAAAGTGCGTACCGATTACGAATGCATGTGAACTTCATGCAACCATCTATTTTTATTTACTAAGTACTCGTGAGTATTCTACCAGGCAAATGCTTCCTATTATTTGTTTGTATTTTTTATTTCTTCGTTTAAATTTTACTCGATCCCTTTTCCAGATTGTGATGGTTATATCGTTTTTGTATTTATACAAATTATTTTTATATTGTTGAAGAAAATTATGTATATCAGTAGTAACATTTTTCGTTATGCGCAAAAATGTCCCGAGCCTGGATAAATGTGATTCGATAAGTGCTTCCCGGGGAAAACGGTTTAGATCTGGCCATATATAAACAGATCTGGCCAGATCTGCTAAGGCAGATCTTTAAATTGTCTCTATCTGACGAGATCTGGCCAGATATAATCAGATCTGACCAGATCTGGTCAAATTTTAAAATTGCCCAGGTAAAAATGATTATATATAATTATATATACTCATACATAATTATATACGAAAAATGGCCATATATAATTATATAAAATTATATAGAATTATTTTCATAAAAAAAAAAAAAAAGTTAAATTATTCCCGAATGAATCTACAGGAGGAACATTGCTATTTAGCGGGATGGTGTTTGTATGTGACGTGGTACTTGTACATGTTGGTGGCAAGCCTTGTTGCGCTGCTCGCATGGCTTGAATTTCAGCGCGGAGCTGTTGAATAACTCCCTGCAATACTTGTGTAGAACTGTTTGCCGATTCAGATTCAGCTAAAGGTTGAATACCACTTACGTGGGCTGTGGAAACGTTGCCGGGGTCAACTGCTGGGTTAGCGGTACTGTTCATGACGCGACTTTGGGAATTTTCCGGATGTAATAAGTCATCATTTGTAGGAGGAGATAGTATCGGATATAAAGGGTCAAGATTATTTTGTTCAATCACGTTTGATATACTAGTTACGGGTGCAGACGGACGTATTACTGGGGTCCGAGGAAACATTTTAATTAATTTTATTATTATTATTGTTAATTTGTTAGTTTTATTCAATTATCAAAATAAGTTTTTATAAAGAATTTTTCAAATTATTATTTGTGATGTTAGATAATTAATAGTTTTATTCTATGGAGTAAAATAAATAAGATAAATTTCCTAATTGAAAAAGTAATGAAAAGTTTTTATTTGAGGTGATGTGAGAAATATAAATTTTAATTTATTATCAGTAATATTAAACCGAAAAGTAATTAATAAATTTATTTTATAAAACGATAGACTTTTAACTACTAGATTAAATTAAGCAAAGACTTTCATTCCAAAAACTTAGAGGATAATAAAATAAAATAAAACAATTTTAGACTGACTGATTCTCAGAAATGACGGTAACGTTGAGTACTTAGCTCAATAGACCCGTATATGCAGGCATCGACTCTGTGTGTATGCTATAATCCTCTACACTGTAGTGTAAATGATAGATCTGAGGCATACGACCCGGCACACAAAATAAACTAAATGAGTTTTATTTCATTGGATATTGTGAACTAAGGCGATTATCCTGAGAGTACGTCACAGCTTATTCAACATCGACAAAATTAATAAATTATACATATGATAAATAAGTAATGAGGATTATTTCACAATTTTATAAATGATGACTAATCAATAATTAATAAATTAGTGAATGATGACTCATGAAGACGTGAGAGTTCTTATCTTTACAGGATTAGAGACATAATGCCAAATTTTTTATGAGATTAAATAATTTACGAATTTCTAAAATGAAATAATTTTTCGATAGATTTTGTATGATTAATTAATTTTCCTTTGCAGATTTCCTAAATAAATTGGAATTTTGTCAAACAGTTCACAAATTTTAGGAATTAATTAATTTTAATTGATTTTATATCAATTTCTGCACGAAATACGTCACTCGTATGAGAGCTAGGTCCCTGTTCGAGCGCCATTGAGATGTAAGAATTTTTCTTTACAAAAAAATTCATTTATCAATTCACTAAAACCTTGCGGATACGAATTTAGTCAATTGATTCTCTAAATTTATTTATTAGGACCACCAGCCCTCGGAAATCCGCTTCCTTACGGATGACGTATTTAGTTTCTGGATATTTAGAGTGAATAGAATGTTGTAGAAGGAGTATGTAGTCTGATAGGAAGTCTCACGTATGCCAGCAAATGTTCTTTGATTACTTACAATATATAGCGATGACAGCTTTACAAGGTCCTGGTTAATACAGCAGCCCGTGAGGCAACAGGCTACTCCTTGATAATGCTCGTCCCTCAAAGAATGCGTAGGTGAAGTAATTTTAATAAGTAGGTAGATTGATAACAATGATGATACACAATTAACAACAAAATAACTATTTTATTTCACACACTAATGATTTGTTTATCATTTCTCAAATGCAATGAATGCTTAAAAAATTAATTATAATAGTAGAATTTAAATTAATTCATAATAAATTTTTTAGAATATATATATAACGTTATAATTTACTTAATTAATAATTAATAAAGAGTAGGATAGAGAGTTATAAAATTAGCGTGATTACTAGTTTGGGGTTGGATCGAAGTCTGACCAATATTTTCGGTGTTGTCGCCTGGGCCGTTTTCCCTTACTCTTTTTTGAGACTCTACCGCCAAAAATTAAGGAAATTAACGCAGTGTCGGTAACGAGGATTTTCAGACAGTCAGTTGAAGGCTGAGAAAAAAAGGACAGTTTGCATTGTCTCAATCCTCCCCACCAAGCCAAAACTACCCGTCTAAAACCCTCGAGTACCGAACAGGTTTTGTAGAAAAAAGTTTATAGAATGTTTGATTAAAATATTCATCATAAAAGTGTGGCAAGTAATCGCCTATAGGTGATAGGTGTGGGTGATAGATGTAGTGATGCGAATGGTGGCAAGTAGTTGCCTATTAGATGAAGATATGCATGGAGTGGCAAGTAATCGCCTATAGATGATGATGATAATAGTAGACAAAATAGATTTTAAATAAATAGCATAGATTTTAAAATCGATTCTTCCGTAAGGTCAAGGCCTAAAGATCATTCGCGTCCTTAAATATTGATTAAGACTTCTCTCCGGACTTCGATCCCTTTAAGGTTGACCTAATAGTAGATAATAGTATACAATTTTAATAATAAATGAATAAATAGATTCTTAGACAGTTAAAATAGTTAAATCTGCCCTGCTTGCTGCTGCTGTAAACAAAGAAGATTTTACTGGCTTAGTTTTTAGAATGAGATGAGTATGAGTATGTTTACAAGAGTTTTATTATGAAGAACAATTAGTACGACACATAAAGTTTTTTTTTTTTTTTTTTTTTTTTTTTTTTTTTTTTTTACATGAACGTTTGAACACTTAATAACTTTGGATATATAATCGAGTAATTATAATATTTTAGATAGAAAATGTAATCAGTGATGAAAAATAATTATTAAAATGTAGTAATGAAAATAATAATGAAATATAATGAGAATAATAATAATAGGGTGAGCTTATTTGTTCGTGGCACGTAAGTGTGCCTTGTAGAACTTCTCCATGTCTTCAACAATGTATTTGGTACCAATCCAGTTGTGATACCCAGTCCAGCATTGATTGCAATGTCTACACTGCGGATCGAAAAGTTGGATGGACACTCCACAATCTTGGCAACGGCCCCTGAAGTGATGGTGGTCTGAGCTGTCAATTCAGCTTCCGTATCCTTAAGGAATTGTTGAAAGGCGGCTGTAGGAGATATCGAGACGTTGTATTTTGGTGCTGATACTGTTTGCGAGTACGGTAACGTTGTTGCATACGTTATCATAACCGGCTTCACTGGCGTTGTTTCCTTGATGGCCCCAGTGGCTACATGAGCGCGGACTTGCTCAGCTGGGAGCTCTCCCCGTGCTGCCAGGTGAGTCAGAAATGGGGATGGTGGAAACTTAGCGCCTTTTGGAGATGGTTTTGATGTTTCACGTCGAATTTTCAGCCTTGCGTTGGGTCCACAGGCGGATGCCAGTTGGCTAGCCAATACTGGTGTCACCGCCTTATTATTTGGAGTACTTCCAGCGTCGTAGATCGTAGGCTGGTGTTCAGGTACTTGCTCTGGAAACTTTGCAGCAACCGGCTCGGCGATTGGCTGAGGTTCCTGATCTATTAGTTGCATCTTAGGCTCGATAACATCGAATCGGTGATTGATGGTGTCAACACTATGGGTTACTTCTCGCACGTAACTGGATAGATTAGCCAGTTGTTGGTGCTGTAGGGAGGATAGATGCTTCTCTACTGTCTGGATATTCTTTTGGAGGCTCTGGATCTCCACGGTGTTCTCACGAGTTTCTGTGTGAAGCTCGTTGATACTATCTAGAAGTTCGCTAACCCATATTGGTGGTTGAGCTGCAGGTTCCTCAAATCTTGAGTACAATGTGGAAAGTTTCTCTGGTTCAGTTATCGGTGATGGTGAAGTTTCAGTCCTGAAATTGACTTTACTGTTAACTGAATTAGTTTCTTTCGGTTTTTGGATAACATTACTGGCATCGAACTTGACTGCTGCTGGCTTGGGTATCAAGCTGAAGTCGAGTTGGGTGATGATCTCTGATGTTTGAATCTTCGTTGACGTTGTTGTTGGGGGCAGTGATAATGATGGAAATGAATGAGGTGTGTGTGTGTGAGATGATGTTTTATTATTGTAGAGAGTCTCAGTCGACGAACCAGAAATCAGTGATTCCCGATTTAAAGACTCTGGTGTTACGCTCAATGACATGATTGACGTATTCTCAGAAGTAATCTGTGACAATGGATGTCTTTTAGACCTACGAGGTAATTTTAAATCGTTAAGATAGTGTGTGCCGAGGCTATTACCCGCTGAATCTGCTAATTTAACAACTAATGGACTTACAATTTCAGTTATTACTGCTGGACCTGCATATTTGGGTGCTAACTTGGCACTATAACCATCAACTTTCTTACTAAGGCGTTTGTTTAGATAATATACCTGATCTCCAATTTTTAGGTCAATTAATTGAGTTGAGAATCGTTTCTCATGCTGTTTACGGGTACGTTCCCGAGCTTTAAGCATGTAACGTTCAACAAAATGTCGTAGTTCGTCCATGCGGTCGATACGAGCTTTCCAAAGAGCTGTATCAGCTTCGTTAAATTCTTCGATAACGTAAGTGTCAGATATTTGATGTGGATCGCGTCCGTGATTAAGATAGAACGGTGATACCCCTAGTGCGGTATGTACTGCTGTATTATACGCGAGTTTTAAGTCTGGGAGGTGAAAATCCCAGTCGCGTTGGTTTTGGCTAGTAAATGCTACAATCATTGGTTTTATGGTGCGATTGCAACGTTCTACGGGGTTTGCACACGGGTGTCCTATCGGTGTTGGTGTAAATTGAATTTTATACTGCTTAATTAGGGTTAAAAGGTCTTTATTTATAAACTCTTTACCGTTGTCAGAAATGATTTGACGTACGGGTCCCCAGTGACAGAGTGCGTTGCGTAAATGTTTCACGATTTCTTTACCTGTCTGTTGTCTAAGAGGGAAGATTTCGAGGTAACGAGTATAAATATCTTCAATCACTAGAGCATATTGGTGACCTGAGGAGGATTTTGTATAAGGGCCGATCGTATCAATGGAAATAATGGTCCAAGGTTGAGTAGGTGGTCGGGTTCCTATATAACCTTGCGGCTTGGCTTGATTACTTTTAGTCTTTAAGCAAGTTTCACAAGAGTTGACGTAAGAAACTATGTCTCGGAACATGCCGGGCCAGTAATGTGTTTCACGTATGCGCCAGTAAGTCTTATCGATGCCTAGGTGGCCAGCTTGGATATCGCAATGAAATTTTTCGATATGGGGATTGATTTCTGCTTCTTTGAGGACAATTTTCCAAGCAGTAATGTCACCTAGAATCTCTTTAGTGGCTGTGGGTCGATAATAATATAATCTGTCGTCCTCGTGTTTCCACTCAGGATATTTGTCAGGAAATTTCTGTACTACACGAACTTTTTCGTCATACCAAGAAAGATTTGAAGTATTTAAGTTATACAGGGTGGTGGAAATCTGTTCTATCAAACTAGGATCTTCGTAAAGGCGTGATAGTGCGTCTGGAGCTTCATTCTGCGTTCCTCGATAATGAATAATTTCGAGTCTATAAGCCGAAAGGTCTATAGCCCATCGGGCTAAACGGCCTGCGGGATCTTTCAAGCTATATAGCCATTTCAGTGCAGAATGGTCAGTATATACAGTAACTGAGAGACCTTCTACGTAGCCTCTAAGTTTCCGTAAGGCCCAAACGACAGCAAGACATTCCTTTTCCGTCGTTGTATAATTTGACTCGGCTTTACTAAGAGGTCGGCTTAAACATATGATTAAATGTTCGCGATCTTCTCTAGAGTCGTACTGTGTTAATATTGCGCCTAATCCGGTATTACTCGCATCCGTGTAAAGACGATAAGGGCGATCAGGTTCCGGTAACGCTAATGTCGCGGCTTGTAATAGAGCTTTTTTAGTTTTTTGAAACGCTTCTTCTTCAACATCGGTCCATTTCCAATCTACGCGAGTACTAGTTAATTTATTAAGGGGTCCTTGTACCTGAGCTACGTTTTTAACATGTTTATGGTACCAATTAACAAGTCCATTAAACCTGCGCAGTTCCTTACGGTTAGTAGGCCGTGGATAATCCGCGATAGGTTCAAGACGAGCGGGATCAGGACTCATACCCTCTTCATTAATTATAAAGCCAAGAAATTTTACTTCAGATCTTCCAAACTGGCTTTTCTCCTCATTCATTTTGAGGCCTGCTTGGCGAAAAGCTTCGAAAACGGCTTGTAAATATATTATGTGTTCCTCTAAGGTGTTACTAATGATAATCCAATCATCAAGGTACGCGAAAATTTTTTCTTGGGCACCGGAAACGTATTGTCTTGCTTTTTTATATAAAATTTGCATAACTAGACGGAGAACTTTATCGGTGAGTGCTTGGTAAGTACTTGGGGCATTTATTAAACCGAAAGGCATCCGAACCCACTCAAACTGGCCTCTGCCGTCAACGCAAAAGGCGGTATAGTGCCGACTATTTTCTTCGACTACGACTTGGTGAAATGCGTCACTAAGATCGATGGTTGAAATGACTTTAGCTCCACGGAGACCGGACAAAATTCGATGCATAATCGGTAACGGGTATGCTGACTGTTTAGTCTTTTTATTCAGGGGACGGTAATCTATACACATGCGCCAGGTGTTGTTTTTCTTGGCTACCATGACTGGTGAGCATGCCCAACTACTATTTGAGGGTCGAATATAACCTTTTTCGAGCAGTTGATCGACTTTTTCGTGTAATGCTTTCATTACTGGTTGACTACGTCGGTAAGGTTTGCAGCGAACTGGAATGTCGTCTGTTACTTCGATTCGGTGTTGGACTAAGTCAGTAACTCCTAAATTAACAGTTTTATTTTTCGCAAATTCTACCGCAAGGAAATCGTTTAATTCAGATCGTTGGGATGATGTTAGTACATTTAGTGACTGTCTGTCTGTGTTATGATCTCTAGAGCGGAAATGATGTTTCGCTGAGTTGTCACCAAGTTGCCAAGTGGCTGCTTTAGACTCAACTCGAACATCTGCTCGTTGCCAGAAGTCTAGGCCAAGAATCATTGGTGTTGATAGCCCTGGGAGTACACTCAACCAGGTGAGGATTGCTAAACCGTCAAGTTCAATTCGAAAGGGTGCGCCGCCTTGTGTGTAAGTATACGCGGAATCAGCGAGAGTTACTCCAAAGGTGCTTGTGGGGTCTGGCCCTAACTTTTGGAGTTCGCTACCTTGGATGAGCTTGTAAGCCTTGGCTGAAATGTAACTCCGTTCACTGCCACTGTCTAGTAATGCTTCAATTCGGTGAGACCCGATAGTTACTTCAGCAAGCATTCGGCTTACTCGTGTAGGAGGTGAATTTCCAGTGACGTTTTCAAATCGATTCATATTTGGGCCGTGTATGGGCATTAAATAGTCTGCTATTTCATTATAGTCTGATTTTACTTTAAGGTCAGGATTATCATCTAATATTTCTGATTCCGAATCGTCTTCGTAATCTTCATATTCTGAATCCGAAAGGTTTAAATTTATAGGACTCGTGATTTGTTCCGATAATGTTAGAGTTTGTGGTTCTACGTCATTTATTATAGACTCCTGAGAGGTATGAGTAGGAGAATTTGGTATCATGACTGCTTGTATTGTCTCTTCAGTGATATTAGTTTGCTCTACTGCAGATATGTTGGCCCTGGTTGGGGTAGAGGGAGCCACCAGGGCACCTACTCGTTTTTTGGATTTGTATTTCGTTCGAAAGGTGGTAAGCCTGCTCTAGCGCGAATTTCATCAGTGGTTCGGCCACAACAATTTTCTGCAATATGTCCTATACGTCCGCAACGGCCACAAATAGTCGACGACGTCGTATTATTAGAAATTGGTTGGAGTTTTTCCATAATAACTTGCACTATAGCTTGTAGATCTGCAGTCGTAAGTGTAGAAGGGTTAGCAGAATCCTTTTTTGGAGAAAAATGAGGGTTTGGTGGACCAGTAATAGCATCAAGTATGGTCCGTTCGTCATTTTTCGTGACTGTATCGGGATTATCTCGAATCAGTGGGTCTGAGTCGGTAACGGCGTTTATCTTAGTACGTGGTTTCGAACTATTATTACTGGACTGATTTTTTGATTTATTATTAGCTGTTAGTTCAGTCCGATTACGTCGTCCTGCATCTATTACCGATTGCCATGCACTAACGCGCTTATATAATAGGGAATAGGTGTTAATGGGCTCTTCAGCAAATTTAGATAAGAACTGAAAATTAAATTTTTGAATTATGATCCGAACTTGTCTATTTTCCGGAAGGGGTTCCTCTAATTGAGCAAAAGAACACTGCATGCGATTGATAAAAGATATTCCTAACTCTTCATCACCCTGCTGTAAAGAGAAAATCTCTTGTAACAGTGCCTCGTCTGAATGATGTGTTTGCCAAATTTTGAAATGTTCTTTGAAAGTTTGCCAATTAATAAATAAATGTTCATTTTGGTAATACCATTCTAAAATATGGCCAGTTAAGGTGGTAGTAATTACTGATCTGAAGTGGTCAATAGGGATGTCATTACTGTCCATGCGTTGTTCCATTACTGTGAGGAATTTCTTTGCATCTAATTTGACTGACGCATCACGTGGTGGAAAAGTAATATTCCAAGACTTGGCTGTACGGCATATATCGTTGAGTCGTAGCGTTGTGTTAGTGCTCTGCCACGACTGTGTGGGGACAGGCGCTGTAGAGTGTCTAGGAGCGATGTAAGTGTGTTGGTACGGTAACGTGTTTTGTTGCAGTACGTGTGGGACCGGGGTATAGAAGTATACCGGTGGCCCCGGCGGAGGGGCTGACATAGTCTGTGCCGGTGGGACTGTACTCTGTGGAGGTAATGTTGGTCGTGGTAGTGGAACTGGTGGCGGCGCGTACGGTAAACTCGCAGCTCCGTTGAGCGCCTGAGGCGGGGGATAGAAGTATGGTGGTATACCCGGTGGAGGGGGCTGAGGTGTTGGTTGCATGTTCGACACTGGAAACAATTCACGGGGGTAAAAAGTTAAATTATTCCCGAATGAATCTACAGGAGGAACATTGCTATTTAGCGGGATGGTGTTTGTATGTGACGTGGTACTTGTACATGTTGGTGGCAAGCCTTGTTGCGCTGCTCGCATGGCTTGAATTTCAGCGCGGAGCTGTTGAATAACTCCCTGCAATACTTGTGTAGAACTGTTTGCCGATTCAGATTCAGCTAAAGGTTGAATACCACTTACGTGGGCTGTGGAAACGTTGCCGGGGTCAACTGCTGGGTTAGCGGTACTGTTCATGACGCGACTTTGGGAATTTTCCGGATGTAATAAGTCATCATTTGTAGGAGGAGATAGTATCGGATATAAAGGGTCAAGATTATTTTGTTCAATCACGTTTGATATACTAGTTACGGGTGCAGACGGACGTATTACTGGGGTCCGAGGAAACATTTTAATTAATTTTATTATTATTATTGTTAATTTGTTAGTTTTATTCAATTATCAAAATAAGTTTTTATAAAGAATTTTTCAAATTATTATTTGTGATGTTAGATAATTAATAGTTTTATTCTATGGAGTAAAATAAATAAGATAAATTTCCTAATTGAAAAAGTAATGAAAAGTTTTTATTTGAGGTGATGTGAGAAATATAAATTTTAATTTATTATCAGTAATATTAAACCGAAAAGTAATTAATAAATTTATTTTATAAAACGATAGACTTTTAACTACTAGATTAAATTAAGCAAAGACTTTCATTCCAAAAACTTAGAGGATAATAAAATAAAATAAAACAATTTTAGACTGACTGATTCTCAGAAATGACGGTAACGTTGAGTACTTAGCTCAATAGACCCGTATATGCAGGCATCGACTCTGTGTGTATGCTATAATCCTCTACACTGTAGTGTAAATGATATTTTTAAATACTAAGAAATGATGTTTAAGAAATGATTTCTTAAATACAAAGAAATCTTCTTAAATGTTAAGAAATCCTTCTATCAGTGTAGCGTATCAGATATTTTAATAATAAAAAGAAAAAAAAATGGATGAATAGAATAAAATAACAGAAATAACTTTATAAATTTCAAAACTTTCCATTCCATGGATGTAATTATTCCAATTACGCGGATTATTATCCACCGATAATGATCGAACCACACGGTTGATACGGGTGTCAAAATCCACCCCTGACATTCTTCCTCACTATTTGTTTAATTATCTTTCGATCCATTATGAGTTACAGAATGTTTACAATGCAGTTTCTGCGCATTCATGCCTACTTCCATTCATTCCCAACATATTTAATAATAAATAAACTGTAAAATTAATTTTTCGCAAAGTTAATCAAAAATATTATACACCATCCAGGATAATTGTTGTTCATGAAACAAATTAAATAATCATGAACTGAGTGAAAAAATAATTAAATAAATCATTTTAAAAAATTATTTGAATGAATACGCTTTAATTATACATGATTTAAAAAAAGGTTGGTAATGAGGAGATTGATCGAGCGTAATTCGAATCTTTTATGCTCACCAACTTTTATAATTTTCTTAGCAGTTTTATTATTTTTATTATAATTTTTTTTTACCTCGCCAATTAATCTCATGCGGCCCTCGGGCGTCATTGGATCCAACGAACCAAAAAGCTGGGCGCTGCACGTCAAGTGCCTTGAATTTACCACCATTCTTTTTTTTTCTTTATTATTTATTTTTTTTCCATTTTCAAGGTTCAAATTAAAAAAAAAAAAATGTTCGATCAACAACTATAGGAGAGCGATTTTTCCCTCGATTCTACGATAGAGTATCGCTCGTGTCGAATAAATTCGAAAGAAACGCGAATATAACAATTTGCAGGAAGTTAACGGGCCGCGGGTGGGAGTGGGGGAGAGGATAGGGGTTCGAGGGCGAGAATGAAAAGAGAATAAAAGGGATGAGTATATAGGACGAACAACAGAGGGTGAAAAAGTAAGAGGAGAGTGAAAACGAAATAACGGTCAGTATTTTGCAGTAATATTTCACCGTAGCAGTTGGTATTAATTCGTAATATGTTACCATGCAAACTATACCAAAGCACCGAGTATAGCCGGACGTATACTAAAACGTACCTCCCCCCACTCTCTTTCTATTCGCGCGCTCTCTCTCCGATTCACTTTTTTCTCGTTCTCTGTATCTTTCTCCCTCTTTCTCTCTCTCTGCTCGTATACCTCTAATATATGGTCCAGTATTATTGCAATGCAATGGACAGAATACTGTCAAAATTTATCGGCGACCGTTTTTCATCGGTGTCCCCCTCCATCAAATGAGCCGGCGATTAAAGCGCGTGAATTAGCTCCAACACTTTGGACGCTTTGCGTAATTAAAAAAAATATTTCATGATTTATTTTATCCCATATTAGTACTATTGTTATTATTTTTAATTATGCTTGTAGCTTTATGAATATTTATTGTTATTGTTAACTAAATTATAATATTAATAATAATAAAATCTTTGCTGATAGAGTTGGATCACATGTACGAGAAAAAAAATGTTTTGCCGTAACAAAAGTTTTTTTTTTAACAACGACAGTTGTTTGCATCCAAAAAAAAACTTCTTTTTACTTGAATAAAAATTAATTTCTTCTTCGATGAATTTCCTACTTAGTTCAAGAAAATTTTCATTTCTCAGAAAAATTCATACTTTCAATTGAAAATTAAAAATATAAAAAATAAAATTGTAAATATATTGACAGATCCGTGAAATAATTTTCTGATCTATTTTTCTTTAACTTTATTATTTATTAAACGAACAAAAAGTTTTTCTTCTTTTATACTTTAAATTTACCCTCTTATTTATATTAGACTTTTCACTTGGGTTTCCGTCAACTTCTTACGGTCGTTCTCTTTCTCTCACTATCATAAGACAACCTTATTGCTGTAATCTTAAAGCTAAATTGCCAATCAACCTGGTATTATTTTCGTGTTAGGCTTTCCAGAAAAATGAGATGACGAAAAAAATATTAAAATTTAATAATAGCATGATAAAGCGAGAAAAAAATTTTTATTAAGAGCATAATAATAAAAAATTCAGCAATAAGTGTTTTTAAATAGATTCAAGTAATTAAAAGAGTATTGTGCAAAAAGCGAGGCTTGTATTATTTTTAATATAATCGACATTTTTGTATGAGAGTATAAGTTACTGTCTGCATAATTGCGGCATCTATATAATTTTAAAACCCAGCATACGGGATTTGATCCCCTAAAGCTCTCATGTACTAATTACCGTCATCAAACACTCGCTTTCTCGTTATTCTTTGAACAAAAATCGTTCAACATCTTTTTGGAAATTATACCTCATATGGGTAAAAGAGACAAAACATTTCTCATTTTTTATTAATTATTATAATTGATCTTCAACTTTGTAAGCTTTAATTAGAGAGGGGAAAATTGAATAAGTCTACGTACAAAATTGAATGGATTGACAGTTAATTTTCTTTAAAAATTTATCTGTATTGAGTAATTGTTAATTTATATTTAACAACAATGATTGAAGAATATTGAAAAGATTTAATTTTTTTTTTAAATGAAATTTAGTTTACATCGTTCATGATGCTGACTCTCAGGATGAGTGTAAAATTTGAATTTGATTAGTTTCGGTTGGTTACAGGAAGTAGAGATGGCGCTAGGAGTGATTAGTCACTAAATGAGTTGTTAGAAGATAGTATAGATAAGATATATTTGACCTATAGTTTGTTATTGCTGAGTAACGTGGACAGTTGTACAAGCTTAAAGTAGTTAGACTTTATTGACATAACTGCAATTAATATCATAAAATTGATAAAATAAAACAGAAGATTATCGGTAAGAGTTTAAAAGATGGTATTGAAATTGCTCATTATACATCTTGTTCATATAAATTGAACAACTAAGTCACGTGATGTAATAATGGAAACAAGATAACCTATTATTTGGTTATAACTTATAACATAATTATTTTAAATTATCAATCAAAATTCGTACTCTTATACCTATTTTGTATTTTGTATTTGTTAGTTATTGTGATCAAATTTGAAAACATTTTGTTTATAAATTTTTTTTATAAAGGAAAATGTTAAATTTAGATGAATAAGTAGAGAGAAAAATAGTGTATAATAAACTAAAAAAAGTGGATAATGTGACAAAAAAAATTGAGCTTGCCGATTAAGTTATTCATTTGAAAACAATAAAAAAAATATTCACGAAAACGGTCTAATAAATGCACAAAAAAACTGAAACAGTATAAAAAGATTTATGAACTTGTTGAAAAATAATTGTTGACACACATACCTGACAATGAATATTAAGTACTTTAAGTTTTATAAAGGAGAAATAAACTGACCACCGACTAAATTACAGTCAATATTAAGATCTCGAGATTGAGATTGGATGAAATGTTATGCAAAGCGATTCCGTGCTACCTTAGTTTACAAGAGTGCGCTACCACATATACCACTGAACAATGATAAATAAAGCTGAAGAAAGAGAAAGATATATACATAGCATGGACTAAGGCTAACCGGTGAATCGCGTCCGGCTTACACGCTTCTTGTCCCTAGAGGTTTATATAAATTAAACCCACCGTGGATAGCATATAGCATAAAGTTAAAAGACGTTTGTCGCTCATCCCATATATATGTATAGATGTATGCAGTATGCAAGTTTTACATATACTAAGTATTCTATTAAAACGCAGCTCAAACGTTTTCTTTACTTTGGACGTCTTCAAAGAAAAAGTAATACTTTATACATAATACATATGTTTAGATAAAAGAAAAGAAATAAAATGAAAGTAAGAATAAAAATAATAGAAAAGTATGAGAAAAAAACAAAACAAAGAAAACGTATTTGCCCTGTAATAATACAGTTACTGTGAAGTTGATTGGAAAGCTGGCGCCCAGGGGTGAGAAGTCATGTACAAGACAAAACACGGCATTGGTATATTGTCTATATGATTTCAATAGCTCGGACACAATGCGCTCCAGAGACATCTCTGATAGAAAAGTTACATCGGACGTGCATATGTATACAATAATACTACAGTACATTATGCCTGTTGGCCCCAGCAGGGTGTATTAAGCCCGCGATACCATCGGAAAGAGTTAGTCTATAGCTGGTACATGTCGATGATACTGACTGAAGCAGAACTTGGGTGAGATCTGATGAAAAAATGCTGACATATGTCAGTGGTTGAGAGTAAATGCAGAGGAAAAGTATTGATAAAGGAGAAAGAAGAAAGGTCTCGTTCTGATGGTTAATATAAACAAAAAAGAAAAAAAAATGATATGAGTAAAGAGGGTGCAAGAGATTTTTTGAGGGAGAAACAGGAGCAGATATTTTAAATTTCAGCAAAGACAATGAAGACATCGTTTTCCTATTATAAGTTGTTAATGAGTCAGATCTGTTGTGTGAATGTCATGTTTCGTGACT